ATGACCTGTTCTATAATGACACCTGTTCTTAATGACACCTGTTTTTTTCCCCGTAATTAATGACACCTGTTCTATAATGACACCTGTTGCTATAATGACACCTGTTATATAATGACACCTGTTGCTATAATGACACCTGTTGCTATAATGACACCTGTTGCTTAATGACACCTGTCTTAATGACACCTGTTATATAATGACACCTGTTATTAAATGACACCTGTTCTATAATGACACTGTTGCTAAAAATGACACCTGTTTTTATAATGACACCTGTTTATAATGAAAACCTGTTGCTATAATGACACCTGTTTTAAAATTGAACCTGTTATTATAATGACACCTGTTCTTTTAATGACACCTGTTGCTATAATGACCCCTGTTATTATAATGACACCTGTTGCTATAATGACCCTGTTATTATAATGACCCCTGTATTAAAATTTGACACCTGTTGCTATAATGACACCGGGTTCTATAATGACACCTTTTTACTATAAAGAACAATTGTTGCTATAATGACCCTGTTGCTATAATGACACCTGTTAAATTAATAATGACACCTGTTCTATAATGACACCTGTTATTTAATGACACCTGTTCTATAATGACACCTGTTTTATAATGACACCTGTTCAAATAATGACACCTGTTCTATAATGACACCTGTTACTATAATGACACCTTTGCTATAATGACACCTGTTGCTATAATGACACCTGTTACTATAATGACACCTGTTGCTATAATGACACCTGTTACTATAATGACACCTGTTACTATAATGACACCTGTTACTATAATGACACCTGTTATTATAATGACACTGTTGCTAATAAGGGATAAGACACTGTTGCTATAATGACACCTGTTCTATAATGACACCTGTTGTATAATGACACCTTTTTGTTATAATGACACCTGTTGCTATAATGACACCTGTTACTATGACACCTGTTGCTATAATGACACCTGTTACTATAATGACACCTGTTACTATAATGACACCTGTTACTATAATGACACCTGTTGCTATAATGACACCTGTTGCTATAATGACACCTGTTGCTATAATGACACCTGTTGCTATAATGACACCTGTTGCTATAATGACACCTGTTATTATAATGACACCTGTTGCTATAATGACACCTGTTGCTATGACACCTGTTACTATAATGACACCTGTTGCTATATTGACAACCTTTGCTATAATGACACCTGTTGTATAATGCCCACTGTTCTATATGTCACCTGTTCTATAATGACACCTGTTGCTATAATGACACCTGTTGCTATAATGACACCTGTTGCTATAATGACACCTGTTACTATAATGACACCTGTTGCTATAATGACACCTGTTGCTATAATGACACCTGTTGCTATAATGACACCTGTTACTATAATGACACCTGTTGCTATAATGACACCTGTTGCTATAATGACACCTGTTGCTATAATGACCCCTGTCTATAATGACACCTGTTGCTATAATGACACCTGTTGCTATAATGACACCTGTTGCTATAATGACACCTGTTGCTATAATTATACTTGTCTCTTATATCATTATATATAATATATATATTTATATATTATATATATAAATATATATATATATATATATATTATAATTATATATATATTATATATATATATATATATATCATTGTGGAGACACAGTTGCCAGATACTCACTGACAACGCTGAGATGCACCACCTGTGATATTCTAGGTTCAGTGTTGATCTGACAGATGTAAGTACCAGCATCCTCTACCTTCAGGTACTTGATCTGTAGTGTGTAGTCTTCAGGTTCCCACACTCCTTCGATGTAGTTGGGTCCTGGCTGGGCCCCCTTTTTCTCCAAGCCTTGGGTGAAGGGCCCCTGTGGGTATATGGCGATGGGACTGTTGTATGGAGATGGGGCTTGGGGCTCCCCACTTGCGTGTTTACCAGGAGGCTTGTCTCTCTTGGCGTGTTTGTGCCCTGAGAGATGAAGTTGATTCTTGGAATAGTGATGGTGGTAATGGTGGTGGTGGTCGTTAACGCCGTCTCTTCGACTTCGACTCGATCTGGCGAAGTCCTGAGCTCGTGGCCAGGAACTGTCCTGCGTCTTTCTCTTGTTGTATCTTCTACGGCGGGTATCTATATGGAAGTCCTCATCCTGTCTGTTCTTGGATTCCTCGAAGAAATTCTGTGTACTACTACTGCTGCTGGTGTCTCGCACGAAGTCGTATTCCTTTACGAAACTGACACATTTCCGCCCAGGATAGTAAACGCTATGATGGCATTTTGGCAACTCTATACTCGAGGAGTCACCAATGGTGCCGTTGGCGAGACCAGCGGCACTGTCCAGGCTGTGTTGACTGGAGGGACTTCGAGGTTGTCGAGTCTTGAACTGCGTTGAGCCGGGAAGAACTGAGATCCTGAGGTCAGTAGAAACTGTTGAGCGACCCGTTGAGAGCACCTGGAGGTCACGACCTCTGATCCACGACACCTGCAAGTATATGAAGGTGATCTGTCATTATACAAGCGTGTGTGTGTGTGTGTGTGTGTGTGTGTTTACAATAAGATAATGAATCATTATATCGGCGGTTTTTAACACATTGTATCTACTTGGTGTTGTATGCACATTATACACAGTGTGTATACACTGAGAGGTGTATATATCTCAGTGTATGTACATTGATGAATCCGTATTTCCTCTCTATATATATACACGTGTGTGTGTGTATGTGTGTGTATCACTATTCCTTGCAGCCCTTCATTCAGCAGTCATAACATTTTTTTCTCTGGTGTTTGTGTAAGAGATGATTGCTAGTACACCACGGACTTCTACCCACCTAACCCACCAGCAACCCACTCTCGACCCATAAAGCCAACCCACCGTCCTGGTGAGGTGTGTAGTGACATATGTGGATCCAACATTCTTACAGGTGTGGACTCCGGGGATGCAATTCCTAGGTACTTTCTTGAACGTCGTCTCGTACACACGAATGAACGCTGGGACACAGCAAGGATTTGAGCTAGCTTTAATCTCTTTCATTTGTGTGTGAAAATTAAGTTTTTTCTAGAGGCTGGATGGCTTTATATCCAGCAAGTTTATTCTAAGCTTGGCTCAAGTAACCTAGGTTAGTGTAGCGTGTTATGAGTTGAGCTGTGTTAAGAGAGAGAGAGAGAGAAAGTGAGAAAGAGAGAGAGAGAGAGAGAGAGAGAGAGAGAGAGAGAGAGAGAGAGAGAGAGAGAGAGAGAGAGAGAGAGAGAGAGAGAGAGAGAGAGAGAGAGAGAGAGACCTTCTTCATCTCATCCCAGAATCACATGCATATGCAGACGACTGTACACTGACATTCACTTATCCAAGAGAAGAAATGCCAGCTGCTCTAAGCTACATCAATCACCAGCTGAGAGCTATATCAGCTTGGGGAAAAAAGATGGGAAGTAACATTTGCACCTGAGAAAACGCAAATGATGATCGTCTCTAGGCACCATGATGGTAAATGCTGGTGCAGTAGTAAGGATGAATGGGAGGATTTGGCAACTGGAGAAGAAGTTTTATATCCTTGGGGTGAAATCTGACTCCAAACTAACCATGAAGAACCACGTTGTAAATCTTGCAAACAAGGCAGCCAGGAAGCTTACAGCACTTCGCCGTATCTCCCATCTGCTTGACAGTAGGGGTTGCAAGATCCTGTACGAGGCACAAGTACGCTCACACCTTGAGTATGCTCCACTTTCTTGGTTTGCCTGCCCCCCCCCCTCTCATCTGCGACTGCTTGACAGAGTAGGGAACAGAGCAAGACGTCTCATCTCTCGCCTGGACCCATCTTGGATAGATCTGTCATTTCAGCAGAGCCTTCAACATAGGAGGGATGTGGGTGGCCTTAGTGTTATGTACAAAGCCAATATTGTCAAAATACCACACTTGGATCCACTTCGAGGACAGCGTGAAACAAGCTTTTATGCCACAAGACGGGCAGAAAGCAGCAACTTCACTCTGGCTGTACCCTTCTCCAGAACATCACTCCATCTGAGATCATACATACCCAGGATGACTCGAGTATGGAACACATTAGTACAGCATAATGATGTCAACGAGATAAAGTCAGTTGATCAAATGAAAATGCTGGCCCACAGATGGCTCCAACTTCATCCTGTTCCCTACTTGTATGTCTCATAACAATAAAAATGCTTTCAAATGAGCTGATGTAGGTAACAGCTCTTAGCTTGCCAATAAAGTTAGGAATCCTTAACCTGTAAATAGCTGTCAATAAAGCTAGGGATCCTTAACCTTGTCAAACCCTGTGAAAAAAAAAAAAAAAAAAAAAAAAAAAAAAAAAAAAAAAAAAAAAAAAGAGAGAGAGAGAGAGAGAGAGAGAGAGAGAGAGAGAGAGAGAGAGAGAGAGGGAGAGAGAACTTTTATCACATCGACAAAATAATAATAATCTCAGCCTTTACCACTAATCTCAGCACAGCATCATCATCTCCCAGACTCCTACCAGCAAGAAGAGATAATTGCTGCTGGAGACGCAGCCTCCACCGGGCCAAGATTAAAATATCTGCTGATACCGTCCAGTGATGCCCTTCTGCTGCTGCTGACATCCCCCCTCTCCGGGGGTAGGGGAGGGGGGCGTTGATGGGTATGTTAGCAAGATGATTGATGATCGCAGTGCTGGATAATTGTGAAGGGTCTAGCAATCGTCTCCTTACGGACCCATGGAAGGGATGGTTGGGGGAATTTTTTGAAAGAGAGAAGGCAGGATTTCTGCGTAGATTTTTTTTTTTTTTTTGGGGGGGGGATGTTGAAAAAGAAATTAGTATGTGTCGAGTTGTTGGTTGAAAAATATCTAACACAGGTTTGTTTGTTTCTCTCGTTCTTTCTGTCTTTCTTTATTTACTTTATTCATTTATTCATATACCTCTTTCTTTCTTCTCTCTCTCTCTCTCTCTCTCTCTCTCTCTCTCTCTCTCTCTCTCTCTCTCTCTCTCTCTCCTCTCTCTCTCTCTCTCTCTATCTCTATTATATATATATATTTATATATATATATATATGTATATATCTCTATCTATCTATCGATCTATCTATCTATCTATCTATCTATCTATCTATCTATCTATCTATCTATCTATCGATCGATCTATCTATCTATCTATCTATCTATCTATCTATCTATCTATCTATTTATCTATCTATCTATTTATCTATCTATCTATCTACCTATCTATCTATCTATATCTGTAATAATCCTGCTTCCAGCATCCTCCTGCTCCCACAACATCAACAAGTCACACAGTAATGTTACATCTGGAACACACCTGTTGACACCTGTCACCAGCCAGTACATCATCCCAGGTCAGAATAACAGGTGTCAAGGACCAGGAAATTGGCCTCAGTCTTCCAATTTCAACGCAATTTTGTCCTTATCTCTCGTGGGAATTGTTTAAGCTTGTCTTGTTTTTATTTCTAGATGTAAATTGGTTGGTTAATGGGGTTTAAAGTCTATCTACTACACGAGGGTCATTAAGACTGGTTGGTTGGTTAATGGGGTTTAAAGTCTATCTACTACACGAAGGTCATTAAGACTGGTTGGTTGGTTAATGGGGTTTAAAGTCTATCTACTACACGAGGGTCATTAAGACTGGTTGGTTGGTTAATGGGGTTTAAAGTCTATCTACTACACGAGGGTCATTAAGACTGGTTGGTTGGTTAATGGGGTTTAAAGTCTATCTACTACACGAGGGTCATTAAGACTGGTTGGTTGGTTAATGGGGTTTAAAGTCTATCTACTACACGAGGGTCATTAAGACTGGTTGGTTGGTTAATGGGGTTTAAAGTCTATCTACTACACGAGGGTCATTAAGACTGGTTGGTTGGTTAATGGGGTTTAAAGTCTATCTACTACACGAGGGTCATTAAGACTGGTTGGTTGGTTAATGGGGTTTTAAAGTCTATCTACTACACGAGGGTCATTAAGACTGGTTGGTTGGTTAATGGGGTTTAAAGTCTATCTACTACACGAGGGTCATTAAGACTGGTTGGTTGGTTAATGGGTTTAAAGTCTATCTACTACACGAGGGTCATTAAGACTGGTTGGTTGGTTAATGGGGTTTAAAGTCTATCTACTACACGAGGGTCATTAAGACTGGTTGGTTGGTTAATGGGGTTTAAAGTCTATCTACCACAAGAGGGTCATTAAGGCTGCAGGTCACCTGGTCACCACCAGTCAACAATACTTTAATACCTAAAATACTGATTAATGTAAACTACCAGTGTATATACACTGAGATATACACCTCCCAGTGTATATACACTGAGAAAGAGAGTGAGAGAGAGAGAGAGAGAGAGAGAGAGGAAGAGAGAGAGAGAGATGAGGAGAGAGAGAGAGAGAGAGAGAGAGAGAGAGAGAGAGAGAGAGAGAGAGAGAGAGAGAGGAGAGAGAGAGAGAGAGAGAGAGAGAAGAGAGAGAGAGAGAGAGAGAGGAGAGAGAGAGAGAGAGAGAGAGAGAGAGAGAGAGAGAGAGAGAGAGAGAGAGAGAGAGAGAGAGAGAGAGAGAGAGAGAAATATGCGGGTGTGAACACATTCATTATGATGTATCAGGGAAATTAATGACCAGAAATTACTTTCAGGACAACTGTGTCCTGCACGCTTGTGTGTCCTGCACCCCTGTGTGTCCTGCACCCCTGTGTGTCCTGCACCCCTGTGTGTCCTGCATCCCTGTGTGTCCTGCACCCCTGTGTGTCCTGCACCCCTGTGTTCCTGCACCCCTGTGTGTCCTGCATCCCTGTGTGTCCTGCACCCCTGTGTGTCCTGCACCCCTGTGTGTCCTGCACCCCTGTGTGTCCTGCACCCCTGTGTGTCCTGCACCCCTGTGTGTCCTGCACCCCTGTGTGTCCTGCACCCCTGTGTTTTGCACACCTGTGTGTCCTGACAACACCTCTGTCCTGACAACACCTCTGCCCTGCACCCCTGTGTGTCCTGACAATACCTGTGTCCGGCACCCCTGTGTGTCCTGACAATACCTGTGTCCGGCACCCCTGTGTGTCCTGACAATACCTGTGTCCGGCACCCCTGTGTATCCTGACAACACCTGTGTGTCCTGCACCCCTGTGTGTCCTGCATCCCTGTGTGTCCTGCACCCCTGTGTGTCCTGCACCCCTGTGTGTCCTGCACCCCTGTGTGTCCTGCATCCCTGTGTGTCCTGCACCCTGTGTGTCCTGCACCCCTGTGTGTCCTGCACCCCTGTGTGTCCTGCACCCCTGTGTGTCCTGCACCCCTGTGTGTCCTGCACCCCTGTGTGTCCTGCACCCCTGTGTTTTGCACACCTGTGTGTCCTGACAACACCTCTGTCCTGACAACACCTCTGCCCTGCACCCCTGTGTGTCCTGACAATACCTGTGTCCGGCACCCCTGTGTGTCCTGACAATACCTGTGTCCGGCACCCCTGTGTGTCCTGACAATACCTGTGTCCGGCACCCCTGTGTGTCCTGACAATACCTGTG